GCGTGGGTTCGCGCAGGGCAGTGCGTCAGCTGGCGGTCGCGCTGAAGGGGCAGTTATTCATGGAAACTTTCTTGTAAAACGTACTCCAAAAATCATTGTTTTATTTTACTACTAGGCTATAAAAAATAATTATAAGTGTATGAATGTCTATATTGCACTGCATTATTTCAATTTTAATTGGCTATTTGTATAACAAATTTTATTGTAGTTTTATTTTCTTTCCTTGTTCATTTTTATGTTCTTTGCTAAAGCACGTTGAACTACCTTTATGTATGAAAAATGCTATTTTTGAAAGTCTAATTTTGGGGTTCAGCCATCATAAAGTACTAAATAATTCACGAAGCTGTAAAATGTAGGCTAAATGGTACAGATAACATTGTTTTTGGCTAAAAGGAAATGTGATTAACATTTAAAACACATGTGACAACTTACCCCCATTTGACATTTATGAAAAATACAGTTCAGCCTTTCAGATGAAATCGACCTTCAGTGACTAATCTGATTTTATTCTGTTCAACTGTTAATCAAAAGCAGAAAATGTGCATGTATTGGGTTTTAGTTTAAGCCAGAATTCACAAATATTATTCTAGAAAGTCTGAACTAAATGTTCAATATTGAACCACTGATAGAAAATGCAAGCATTTATAACTCAGAACACAGACCTTGACTAAATTGTTTAGTATTATATAACACACTCTAATATAACAGAGGGCACAGCAATCCTCAAATGTCATATATTAGCAGAAGGCAGTCTAATCAGACTGTTTATTGCAATAAAAGGGCGATAAAACTGCAGCAGATAATGAATGCCAGCGGGGTTTGAGAAGAGAAGGTTACTGCTCTGTACAGAGCTGCTCGTTACATGTTTACAGCACACAGGACAAACACGCTATTACACTAATGTTTTCATCAAATGACGGAAATATTAAAGGTTCCCTCACTCTCACAGTCCATCAGTGTGGGGTTTAAATTAATAGGGACACAAAAATGAAAGAAAACCTGCAGTAAATGTGCTCACCTTCAGGTCATCAGAGATCAGGATGAGTTTGTTTCTTCATCAGATTCTGAGAAATGTAGCATTGCATCAGTGTCTCACTGCAAGTGAATGGGTGCCGTCAGAATGAGAGCTGATAAAAACATCACAATAATCCACACACTCCAGTCCAGCAATTAATGTCACATCAAAATCCAGCCACATATTAGTTTAGAGCTGTTTAAACGCTGCTGGATCTGTGCAGGAGTGAGCACCTTTTGGTCATCTCATCTCAGAAATCCAGTCTCATTTTAAAAATGTGATATAAGTAAAGTTTTATTGACTCATCTGGCTTCCGCCAAACCTTAAAACACACTTAATGCAGAAGAGTCTTACAGCATCGTCTGACTAATGTGAAATGGATGCGAGAGACGATATGCAGATCGATTCTGTTCTAGAAATAAACTTTAATGGCCTGTCTGTGCGTATAAATGTTTATTTATCTCACGTTCTCTCCATATGGAAACTACAGGCCAGCGTTGAGCTTCACTCACAAACTGCAGGGCGATGTTCAGCTGCTCTGACATCAGCTCGTCTCAGGTCACGTTCATTAGTTTTCTGTAAGAGATGACTGAATCTCATTAGAAGTCAGTCGATATCTGCCTGTGGCGTCTGTGTATTCAAACTCTGCTCGTCAGTCGCTTACAAAACATAGTTCTATTAGTGACAAATCAATAGCAGATGATTTATGATACTTATCTTTAAATATACATGTAGGGGAGAGACACCTGCCAGAGATGAGTTCAGGAAGATCCACTTCTGTGAGGATCATCATCATCATCATCATCATCATCATCAGAGGAAACCTGCTCACATCTCACACAATATTAAACAAGCCCGGCCTGTTTCTGAGACGTGAACACGGTTACTACAGTTAACTAGAAATAATAAATGCTAACTAAAATGAAACTTTATTTTAGATTCTAGTTGCCAAAGCAACACTTCTCATTCTCATTTAGTTTAACTTGATATACTAAAATAACTAAAACTATAAATAAAATTAATAGTGCTGTCAAACGATTAATCGCATCCAAAATAAAAGTTTTGTTTGCATAATATATGTGTACGGTGTATATTTGGTATGTATATATATATAAATACACACACATGCATGCATATATTTCGAAAATATTTACGTCTATATTTATATAATTTATATTACAAATAAATATATTTAATAAACATATTTTTCTGAAATGTATGCATGCATGTGTGTGTTTATATATATACATAATAAATATACACAGCACACATATATTATGTAAACAAAAACTTTTATTTTGCACGCGTTTAATCGTTTGACAGCACTAATA